AATGCCGAGTTTCCTGTATAGCTTAGCCCCATATGCTTGGCCACTCAGAGTATCTAATGCACATGACATTCCTATCTGCAAAATTTCAGCAAAAATTTGCACGGTTTGAAACCCAGAATTCTGGTAAATAGTAGAGGGAATATGCTAAAAATCAGAGAAGGACATGCATAAAGAAAGAGGAAGAGCTTTACGATGAAGCTAAGGCCGGTGACGTTGCAGAAGGAGGTGGCGAGGGAGGTGCTGGAGAGAGAGAGTTGACCCAGATGACCAACCATCGCCATTGAAATGATCTGCAACGCGTACTGCAAAACAACCACCGCAGCCATGGGAGCCGCCAAGCGACCAACCCTCTTGATTTCTTCCAGCAGAGCTCCGTCCCTCAGATCTCTCCATGTAACTCTCTCTTCTCCCGCCTCCAGTCTCTCCTTCGCGCTGCTATCCTCGCCCGACATCGTAGTTAGAGGAGAGAAAGCTCTCGCCTTTGCCTTGCCCTTTGGGGATTTTTGCGTGGCTTTGGATCAATCGCGCTGAAAGAGGTCGAGATTGGAAGAGATGGCGGTGGAGGATTGACCTACTCGTTAAATTCGGCGATGGCTAATCATATCAGACAGATTCGTTGGACGCAACGAAGTGGTTTCACGGGTAAACATGTTGGTCAATCTAGGTGTTTGTCTTCTTCCTTCTTGCTCATTTCTCGGATCTTGGTCTTTTCTTTAATGGGTAATTAACAATTAATAATTTTGTTGCTTGTTTTGTGACATCCTCGAAGAAGAAAATAACCCAATAATATACGTAAGTTGTTCATGGGGGAATGAAATAGCAACTGAGAATTGAGATCTCAGAAGAAGAAGATTCAAGAATCAATATTATTATTATTGTTTAATCCCTCGAGATGGGATTTGCTCGATGCCACCATCATCATCATCATCATCATCATCATCATCATCCCGTATTTGTTGGGGATTAGGCAAATCCGTTTCGACCCACCGTTTATTCTAATTTGTGTGGAAAAGAATGCATGCCTAAAAAAGAAAATTGGAATTCAATATCGATATACAATAAAATAAATAAGAAATATTGATCTATGAATGCATTTACAATATATATTTGCATATTTTGTTTAATTTTTTAATCTTTCTTAAAATATTTAATAAATAATGATACAACATCCAACAAAATATTTGTATATTTGAATGGAATAAATAACAATAGTGAACGTATTATAAGTAACAATAAATAAAAGTTACGCTCTCTTAATTTAGTGAATATTAATGTTTTTACCTCTCTTGTTCTTGTTGTAACAAGTGTCTTTTAAATTAATACAGATAAATTAAAAAAAAAACAAATGAGACTAATTTAACAAAAAAAAAAAAAACAAATGAGACCAATTAAAAAATCAAAATAAATTTTCAACTATGAATAACAAAAAAAATGTTTATAGATTCTAAAGGAGAATAAACATCTTCTCTTTTTTAGAGTAATTAAATTTTTAGGAAAAAAATTATGGTCAGAAGAATAAAAAACTTGATGAAAAGACGAAAAAAGGTGAGAAAACACAATAATAATAGTTGAAATATAATTAATATTCTTCGATGATAAAAACTATTAATAGTCTATTGAAAATTGGATAGTTTTAATTAAGGGTAAAGTTGAAAATTATTTTAAAATTTTACTTAGAAAATCTAAAATGACATCTATATAGTAACAACAAATATTATGTATAGCATCAAATATTAAGAAACGAGGGAATACATGATTCCATATAAATAAAATATCGTTTTAGTTATTTAATATTTATTAAAATATTTAGAATTAATAAATATTTTTTTAACATACCATAACAGAAATGTACATTTTTTAAATTATAAATATTTCAGTTTTTATATATTCGATGTATCTAATATTTATTTAAGAGAATGAAACTCCTTACAAATATTATATATTCGACCAATACTACATTTCGACCCGCAAAATATGCAAAATTAAGTTATTTTGCAAAATATTTTTCAAACTATATATTTTTAAATACCAACAACTTCTCTTCATCTGCTGAGTCCGCTCCATCTAACTTCTACTGTTAGGTTTGATTTATTCACTTACGGTTAATTAGTTGGAGTTTGTTTATTTCGGATTTTGAAAATTTATAATCGAACAGTTATTTAATTTTAATTGGTTTGATTACGATCCGATTCAATCCGGTTATATCTAATTAAAATTATAATCAAATAATAATCAAATAATAATTCGATTTGATTCACCCATATAGTAAGTAAAACAAACTTCAGAACATTGTATTGTTTAAGGAAAATTTAAAAAACATAACCGAACTGAACCGATTATAAATGGAACATCGTTGAAGAAAAACAATTTTATGTTCATTTCTCTGCCTAGACAAGTTCATTCTTGTCTAGTCGCTTCCAAACCCGGATAAAAGAGGAGGGTTTTATGGTAAGTTACCAACCAACAAAATAAAAACCAATGCCACATCTTACATGTAATAAATTCTAGTGATATAAACGTTGGGGCGTCCTCTATTTACGATGCATTATACCAGAATCCAGGTGTAGTGAAAAATAGACAATGACATAGGGCCTATCCCGAATGCAATGCGTCATATCAGCGTTCGGATATGGAGTTAAATAGAAAAGGATTCCCACATCGTGGGCGCGTGTGAATAAAGAAGTTAATCCAGAGTGCCGATACTACTAAAAATCTAGGTAGGGTAGATGATAAACAATTTTATAGGAAGAGGAGTACGAAAACCTTGGTGGAGTGGAAAATTATGGTAGGTATTTGGAATAGTGGTTCGCTTACAGGAAAATTGATGGAGCTTGTAGACACGATGAGTAGAAGGAGAGTGAACATTGCTTGCATCCGAGAGACTAAGTGGGTAGGAGAGAAAAGTAGGGAGATTGGAGATACAAGTTTTAGATGCTGGGATCCCTTCGGGTTCCTAGCATGCGATCTCATCGATCTAGGGTTTGGATTCTAGGTTTCACGCAGCGGAAGGAAAGATCTAAACCTAGCCAAACGTCACACAAAACCAATTGTGCAATAACCCGAACAATCGTGTATATCGTCGTGGGATTCGAATACTTACCTCGTTCTTTCAAGATCTGGAAATATCAATCGATCCAGGGCCTGTTTTAATCACCAAGAGTTGAAAGCACAACCCCTCTACATGTATCCACACCGACGGGATGAATTCCAACACTTTGGAACGTATCTGCTAGGATTTGTGAAGAGAAAACCGATGTCCTTGACTTGGAATCGATATTCCAATCTCTATAACTCAAAATCAAGCTTCTCTAAGCTCTCATGAGTGTTTTGGACGTCTGAGGTTCATTGGGAATAATGATATACCAAGACTAGTATGATGTGTGACTGATGATCATATAGATGATCAGAGGTATTGGATACGATCACAATCATAGGTATTCGTTGGAGAACGGAATACTGGATTGACCCGCATGAGATTGTCACATGGACTTGTTGGGTTCCCTTCGGGTTCCTAGCATGCGATCTCATCGATCTAGGGTTTGGATTCTAGGTTTCACGCAGCGGAAGGAAAGATCTAAACCTAGCCAAACGTCACACAAAACCAATTGTGCAATAACCCGAACAATCGTGTATATCGTCGTGGGATTCGAATACTTACCTCGTTCTTTCAAGATCTGGAAGTATCAATCGATCCAGGGCCTGTTTTAATCACCAAGAGTTGAAAGCACAACCCCTCTACATGTATCCACACCGACGGGATGAATTCCAACAGTTTGGAACGTATCTGCTAGGATTTATGAAGAGAAAACGATGTCCTAGACTTGGAATCGATATTCCGATCACTAGAACTCAAGAGAAAGCTTCTCCAAAGCTCTAGAAAGTGTCTAGGACGTCTGAGAGTTCTATCTAGGGTTTGTGGTGGCTCAATCACTTAATTAGAATTGCCCAAAACCCTAAAACGTGAGAAACCGATAACTGTCACGTAAGTCGGACCGTTCGTTCCATACCTGGAACGGACGTTCTGACTTTCTACGTAGAACGGATGTTCCGTAATTCAACGCAGAACGGACGGTCTGAGCCCATGGACCGTCCATTCCAGACCTGGAACGGACGGTCTGGCACTTGCGGAACGGTTCGTTCGTTCCTCAGCAGAACGAACGGACCAGCGGAGGAAGAGAGGCGGACACACCAGCCAAAGAATGAGAGAAGATTCAATCTCAAATTACTTGCCAAATTCTCAAAGGTTCCTTTCTCGTGTCGCTCTCTTCACGTGTGATCCATCCCTAATGGTGTGTGACCCTGTAGGCCCATTCGAAGTGGCAGTGGCTTCGGAAACCCTTTTCCCGAACCACAAGTCATGGTTAGGTAATACCCCGAAACTCGAATTGGATATTAATTATTTAAAAATAAATAATTAAATGGGGATGTCACGAAATCACAAAAAAATACATAGTGCAATGCCGGGGAGAGGCACGGGGATCGTCACATGCGGGAAGGATCGAGAAGGAACGAAGAAACGGAAAAGAAA